AGCTATCCATTCAACAATACACCAGGACCTCCCTTAGATACCTACAGCTGATAAATTTTGGGACCCATTCAAAGATTCGGTCTAGATCAAGCAGGCAGAGGCCAGAGTGGGGCCAGAAAATAGGTACGTTTGTTGAGAATTCTGTAATTGTCAAATTGTTAGCCTGATTTCCTCAATCTTCTTTATTCTAACATGTATTTGTCGTCCATAGGTATATCAAACAAGGTTTGGCGGCTTGGAATGGAATATTTCAAAGTCAAAGAGATTGAACTGCACTTCTGGTCAATTCGGCATGCAATCCAGAAGTGGCCAAGAATCTATCCCAGTCAATGTGTCGCTATCCAGACATGGTTGGATCCCGACAAAAGCTACCACCATACATACACGCATCGACTTTGGGTGCTGTTTTGCAATGTCTAGGCAGAAATGAGATTCCCTTCTCTGATTTCCTGCTGCCCCCTTGCGAACATTTCAGGTTCTCGGATGAATCTTTCAAAATTCCATGTATTATAAGCCGAAATTTGCAATTGAAAGTGCGCACACCTCTAGACTATATATATTAAACAAATAGTAGATGTTCAAATACAATATTTGTAATCAAAACAAGGTCTTATCGTACAAGAAGGTGCTCTTGCCTCTTGTTTCAGAATTTTGGTCATTTGACAATCGAATAAATCAAATTTACTTTCCGACTCAATCGAACGTCACGTTTTGTACCACGGCTACGGATTTTCCACGACATCCGGTCTGATTTTGATTGGGACTGTAACTGGGGATGGCTCAAAAGTGGATTTGTTTGGGGGACGGACGAACAAGGACGTCCAAATAAGAAAGGAATTCTCCAGCTTCCAAAAAACGGGAGGAAGTATATCCGAGATTATTTTTTACGCTCCTCCCTCCCCTAGTTTTCTTTCTAGGTTCGTCAGTGGAAGATTCCGTTTACGGTCCGAAACAGACGTACCCAGTACGATACGGTATTTACGTACCCATCATACTTTAGGCCCAACAGACTTTAGTCATTTCTCTGAAAAATCGTACATTTTTTTTGGAAAACAGCAAGAGCAAAATGATGTCTAGACCGGTTGAAGGTCTTATATTTGATATCAGGGAGATAACAGGAATATCATGTTTGAAACGAGGGAATATCATGTTTGAAAAAAGGGAGTGTCATGTTTAACGGGATTATCCTGTTTCAAGCGGGGAATACCATCTTTCAAGCAAGGAATACCATGTTTCAAACGGAGAATACCATGTTTGAAACGTGAGACTGTCATGTTTCATGCGGGGAATACGATGTTTCAAGCGGGGAATACCACGTTTCAAGCGGGTAATACCAGGTTTCAAGCGGGGAATGCCATGTTTCAAGCAGGGAATACCATGTTTGAAACGTGAGACTGTCATGTTTCAAGCGGGGAATACGATGTTTGAAACGTGAGACTGTCATGTTTCAAGCGGGGAATACGATGTTTCAAGCGGGGAATACGATGTTTCAAGCAGGAATACAATGTTTCAAGCGGGGAATACCATGATACAAGCGGGGAATACCATGTTACAAGCGGGGAATACCATGTTTGAAACGTGAGACTGTCATGTTTCAAGCGGGGAATACCATGTTACAAGCGGGGAATACTACAGTATGTTTCAAGCAGGGAATACCATGTAGCTATCTTGATAATTGCTATCACGATCGACGAAGAAGACAGGGATGGCTTGTACTAGATTGGCTTTCTGCTTTATTCTTATCGCTAGTCCTTCTTGCCAAATTCTAGTGCTGAATATGTATTCGAAAGAAAAATAATCAAAATACTAGATCCATTAGTCAAAACTATAGTTCGTCGTGACTGAAGTCAAAAATATATACAGCTCTATAGTTCGTCGTGACTGAAGTCAAAAATATATACAGCTCGGTGTCTTATTACAGACTTAATGGCCGTGCGGATACATGTACTTCTTGAAATCCTTATGGAGCATCTCCAAAGCAAAGGTAAAGCTCAGGCTACTCATTTGTGGTGCTGTCCCCAGATATTCCATCATAAACGCCTTCAAGGGAAGTGGCTTTGGATCTGGAAAAGATGCAAACAGTGTCAAGCCTGCAACGCAATGCTGAAATGCAACCTCTCTCACATGGTGCTCCTCTTTTCGCTGTTCGTGCCAGTCTTGGATTCTTTTGCAGGTGGGTCCAGACATCTCGTCTCTGTCATCTTCATGGGAGGCCATCGTGAAAAAAGCTACTACAGTCATTGTTTGATAGTTGCAATGAACAAATTATGATCTCCGTAACAAGTCATCCTGAATCTATTGATTTGGATTTTGAGTCTGTGGGACTTGAAAGTCTGCAGTTTTTCAATCATGATGCTTGGGACTGGCATGTTTTCCAATCATGGGACTTGATAGTCTGCAGTTTTCCAATCATGATAGTTGTGACTATGTTAGCGGCCAGTACATCAACACCGGTTTGAGGATATGCAGATTGAGATCCCGACTGAAGCTACCACCACTGCCACAACAGCTGCCCCTGGCTTTGTTCCCCAAATGAGCCCAGAGGAGTGGGCAGCAATGCAGAAGGTCATCAAGATGTTCGGTCAAACTACTCTTTGAGACGATTGATAGCTTTTATTAAAATATCTAGATATATGTATTCCTGTGGTATTGTGGTGCTTTGTGTCTTGATTTGTTTATTTGCAGTAGCAACCATTGAATCTTGGCGGATCTTTGCCGGCCCTTTGTTGCTATACAAGCTGGTACAACAATATTATTATAAATAAAAGAAGATGGTGGTGATCTCCAACCGTGCAAATGATCTACAAAGTAAAGTGCTTATCAATCCTTGTTTGTTTGACATTCCCTATTTCACACTCCCCGCTTCAAACATGACAGTCTCACGTTTCAAACATGATATTCCCCGCTTCAAACATGGTATTCCCCGCTTCAAACCAGCCGAGTTGAGCTACAAGTAAATCGCCGGCACACCTCGCGCCAGCAGTCATCCATGGACTTCATCCACCGATCGTTCATGAACCAAAGGCCATTGTCATTGGTGGCACGTGTCACATGAACAAACGACAATCGGGCTTGCTCGCAAGATGGGCCTACTCGCAGAAACCAAAAATAGCAGCGACACAACACAAAAAACGCCAAGACACAAAAACCATCATCATCACACATCCTAATAGTGACTGCTATCAATCCCATTGCTCGCAGCATAGTTGCTCAAATCAACAATCTTCTCTCTCCACCACTAGTCTGTAACGACATTTCCAAACTCCTCAGAGACCGGTTCCTCCATCCACTTCCGCACAGTCTAGCTTTTTACACATCTGTTTTTCATTTCCATTGCGCGGAGTGACATACAGTGTGTAGCTAGGAAAGTTTTTCTGTGTTGTGTCTTGTCCTCGCCTCTTGTAGGTTGGAGACTTGGTGCGGTGAAGTAATAAGATGGCAGGATCGTCTACAGGTGGGAACAATGGCACTGCTGGCAAGGGTAGGAGCAGGAAGAAGAAGGCTGATAGATCAACTTTAAATACTGCACAAGTTGTCACTCGATCCATCGCAGCAGCATCCACTGCAAGGCGTGTCATCACATCAACAGACAGTGACCAAAGCACCAAGGGTCAACAGAAACAGACAGCCTTGGCCACAGCCCCATCAGAGGTCCCTTTGACATCATTGGAAGATAATGTCAATGACAAAAAAAAGTGACCTTGCCGTTCACAAACACCAGTCCACCCTCACCTCACGACAGCACAGTTCCGCCAGCATTAGAAGAAAACAATGATGACACTAATGACAAGGTGGTTGCTTCGCAGGAAGACGGCAGTCCCACAGCACCAGCGGCCAACAATGGCCCGGTTCTGACCCAATCAGAAGTTGATGACAAAGAGGAAACAGTAAAAGCCCCACATTATTCTTTACCAGAACACAGTGGTGAGGCATCAGCAGACGTCCAAGCTCTCGCTCTGTCATCATCAGAGCGAGAAAAGGTGATGAAACAAGAATTGACAGAGTCGTCATGTGACGAAAATCTTGGGGAATTTTCAGATGAAATGTCTCAGTTTTCTTTTGTCTCCTCCCACCGGACGGCTATTCCTGGCGATGAAGACTACGAGAGCAACAGCAACGATGCTGCGTTGAGCTTGGACTCCAATGCTACAGACTACACATGCAAGGGCAGATCCCAAGCCTCCTACACCATTCTTGATTTACCACCTCAACTGGTTCAAGGAGACCAAGCCTATACAGAAAGAAATTGGCATGTAGGCAGACTTCACAGAAGAATAGAAGGCTCCAATACGTTGAAGAAAAGTGACTTTGATGATGATATTTCAAGCGAAGAGGCAAACTATATACTATGGAATAGTCAATCGGAAATCAGGTATGTGTTGGGTACTAGACAAAACCGACCTCAATGTCGGGACAAGGATCTGGAACTTCTAGGTTCTCAAATTGGATTCTTGGAAAGAAAAGGGATTGGAGCCAAAATAGATGCTCTGGAAGAAAGGAGGGCAGAAAAGGCAAGGCAGGAATTAGGCTGTGGTACTACTGGAGCTGTTGCTCAATCGGACATGCCAGATAAAGAGCCAGCAGCAGCAAGGAGGAAAGCTGGTCTTGGTGAGGAAGAATTGAATGACTATTGGGACCCAGCAGCTGAAACAAGAAAACGGAAACCCAATATTGGCCTCTCTGCAGAGCAGGTGCATTTGAAGGAACAGCGCAAGATGAGGGCCGACCTGAAAGTCGTTTTTACCAGTGACAACCCTATCCAGCATAAAGAAGTTTTCAGCAATTTGCTATCAAGATCAGCAAGTCTTTTGCAAGCACCTCGACAAGATGAGCATGGAAGGCATGTTGCCTCCAGGTTGAAAAAGGCTACCACTCAGTATCAAAAAAGAACTCAACCGGTGTTATAGGAAAGACAATGAAACAGAACAATTCATAAAGAAGTATAAGATCAGCGCGTCAACAAGTTCCAGGACCATGACGAAATATCAATGATCCGATACGAGCCACCCACCGCGGAGAAACAATACCAAGCAACCTTCACCATTACTTGTGGGCGGAAGAAGGAAGTGCGCATCCCCAATGTCACAGTGGGATATCTTCAATACTACCTTGGGGTTTGGTTTGTCCATTTACACGATTTCTTTTGCGATCATGATGGTGCGACTTATGGCGAAGGCCAAAACGAACACCTTGCACATCATATTCATCCTTATTTTTTTCTTTATTGGCATACTTGCGGTTGCGAGCACATCTTAGTGTGCCATTGTAGCTATCTACATTGAACTCGGTACCATACTTAAGAGCAAGTTGCTGCAAGTGAAAAAGCAACTTCTTTCTACCTGCATTTGTAGGTGGCCAGTGATCTGGATTGAATTGTGCTCGTGTAAATTCGGGCCCATTTGTAATAAACGAGAAGAGGTCAACTGATTCATTGTCATCATAGTCACGGAGACCTATAAAGGGAAGCTCAGCTGTCCATTCTTGAGCGTCAGAAACTGATATTTGGACATCCTGTTGTAGTTCCTCTTGTGTGAGGTGAATAGTTGAAGAATATTCAGATGACATGGTAGTGTTGTACAAGGTGACAACAGGGTGAAGTCACTGACAGCGGCAAGGAAGCTGCCTTCTACTTGCTTAATTTCTGGTAGGGCTGATTTTCCGAGTTTGGCACAATATTGGAGGCAGGCAAGGCATGTTGCGAGTCAGCCGGTTGGTCGGAGTTGTCCTGTCAACAAGGACGAAAGGGGTGAAGGATCTATGACCGCTGGCGCGAGGTGTGCCGGCGATTTACTTGTAGCTCCACTCGGCTGGATTCCCTGCTTGAAACATGGTATTCCCGGCTTGAAACATGGCAATCTCACGTTTCCACCATGGTAATCCCCGCTTCAAATATCTCCTGTTTCAAACGGTTTTCGACAACAGCAACAGCAGCAGTAACAACAACAACAACACCAAGCGTCTCAGATCATCAATATATATTCCAAGAGGCTGATTGTTGATAGTGGGGAACTGTATATGGACTATAACCTCCCAACGAAACATCTGCGAAACTTCATTCTGACAGGTACAGTAACAGCATTTGCATCACAACCACTCAAACTCAACGTTGAATCGGTCCCTCAGCCTGAATTCTGTCTGTGCCCTATGTGTCTCCACTCCAAATATCTAGAGCTGCGACTCGTCAGCACAATACATTCTGCTGACTTGAAGTGCTGTGGCGTTTATATGAGACTTGGAAATCTATCATACTTCCGGCCCTACCGGTACAGATTCTAGTCATCATACTTTTGGCCCTACAGATTTTCGTGGTAAAAGGTACGTACAAGTAACAGTACGGGATTTCCAGTACAAACAACGGAATCCTACACACAGGAATCCGAATTGGATCTTGTACAACAACAGTCACTTTGGGGGGATTTTGAGAACTCCAAATGGTAGATTCTGAAGTTCCGTTTTCACCTGTTTTAGACTTAGTAAGTACTTGTTTGTCCGTCCCCCATAAAAACCTACTTTTGAGCCATCCCCACTCAGGATTCCGTTGTGATCTGAGTTACAACTCAGAAAAAGTCACAATGACCAATCGGTCATCTGTGTCCATAAGTCCCTATTTGATAAATCATCACATAAAATAATATGTCAAAATAGTCAAAGGGAAATAATATAGATTTTTCGAGGCTAAAAATATGTTTTTATATCTCCGGGCACAAGCACGTCAAACTTTGCGATCAGTGTCCCAAAAATACTCGGTCTGAACATTTGCCGGGTGTTCCAGAGAATATGTTGTTCACCATATAAAAAAATATGTCTGTCGCGCGTTTCAGGAATTACATCATATAATCGCGAAAATGAACATTATTCTTTAAATAAAATGGTTCAGAACAGACCCGGAAGTAAAAATGGCTTTCAAACCCATTTTGATTGGTTGGTTCGTACTTCAACTGGAGGAAAAGGATTTTGACAACCCAATTTGTCAGTCTGCACTTCATCAACACAGATGACTTCTTTATCTAATCAAAGGTGACAGACCGGTACAGCGTACAGACAGTAGGACTCCAAGAAAGACGGTCCTGCTGGCACAAAATCAAGGCAAAAGCCCCCCTCTGCCCCTATGAATTGCATGTCTTGCCCCCATCAAGCGCATTTCTTTTACTTAAGGATAGTGGACCATGTACGACATGAATTATATTCAACGGATCAAAAAGCGTTAGATGGAATTCAGAACAGTGGAAGTTGTGTGTATCCAGTACACACCTTCTCTTCTGATGTCAGTATGGCTATCACGTTCTGTCCAGGGAAGTAGTTCTCCATTAAGCTCATAATATCTCTCTGGCAATCTTTCAATCGCTACTGTGCCTAAGTTAGTCCTCAGCCTTTTGTGGGACACCTGCAACAAAACCAACAAAATCCAACGAAACCCAACAAAACCCAACAAAACCCAACAAATTCCAACGAATCTTACGAAACACAACAAAATCGAACGAGATCCAATGAAACCTACAATACACAGGGAGTTGTGGGGAGTTTGCATCTGATGGGTGTGACGCGTCATAACTAGTTATCTATTCCAAATCAAATCGTGCATGCCAAACAAAACAACACCAAGCAGAGCAGAGGTTTCCAAACGAAACCAAACGACATGAAACCCCACCTGTTGTGTTGTTTTGGAATTGGTTTTGCTTTGTTTGGTTTTGTTTGGTTTTGTTTTGTTTTGTTTCGTTTGGTTTCGTTTTGTTTCGTTTTGTTTTGTTTGGTTTCAATATATTTCTAAAAATTGTTGGTTTGGTTTCGATTGGTTTTGATATATTCAAAAATCATTTGTTTGGTTTCAATATAAAAAACAATCGAAGATATTGAGTGTCGTTGGTTCTGTGCCTTCCTTTTCAAGGCGAACGATTTTTCAATATATCGAAACCAATCAAAACCAAACCAACAATTTTTAGGAATATATTGAAACCAAACGAAAAGAAACCAAACGAAATGAAACCAAACGAAGCAAAACCAATTACAACGAAACCAAACAAAACGGACCCAAAGCAAATGAAACCAAACAACACAAAATCGCATGGTTTTGTTTCGTTTGGTTTTATTCCAAAACAACACAAGACATGTGGTTTTGTGTCGTTTGGTTTCGTTTGGAAACCTCTGCTCTGTTTGGTGTTGTTTTGTTTGGCATGCGCAGTTTGATTCAGATTAAATAACTAGTTACGATGCGTCACATGCATCACATGCAAACTCCCCGCAACTCCCTGTGTATTGTAGGTTTCATTGGATCTTGTTGGATTTTGTTGTGTTTTGTAAGATTCGTTGGAATTTGTTGGGTTTTGTTGCGTTTTGTTGGGTTTCGTTGGATTTTGTTGGTTTCGTTGCAGGTGTCCCACAAAAGGCTGAGGACTAACTTAGGCACAGTAGCGATTGAAAGATTGCCAGAGAGATATTATGAGCTTAATGGAGAACTACTTCCCTGGACAGAACGTGATAGCCATACTGACATCAGAAGAGAAGGTGTGTACTGTATACACACAACTTCCACTGCAGTCTTGATAATAATGTATTTGTCAGGCTGTCGCCACCTCATTGCCACATCACTGTCGGCTCGTAGCTTAGGTAATAGATGTACTTGACATTTTGCAAGATTGCTTTTGACAATACTACTGTAGACATGCTGAGTATTGGGGCGTTTGTAGAAGTACTGCAAATCTACAGGAGAGATTTTGTAGCCTTTGTTGAGCGTGGAACTTCGTAGAGTTTTGTTGAATTTTGTTGAATTTTGTAGGAGGATTTTGTAGGTTTCGTAGAGTTTCGTAGAATTTTGTACAGACCGAGCATAATAGCCCAAAACTGCAAGTCTGGCGTTGTAAATTGGTGGTGTTTAAAAAGGGTTTAATCGGGAAAATAATCTCCATTTAAACCCTGGGAGATGAGTCAAAATCGAGATTTCCCCTTCTGTAGCCCCCAAAGAGATTTTCCGGTATAACCGATTTTTGATGAAATACTATAAGCGGTAATTTCTTTTTAAACGAAACTCAAAATGAGTCCAACTGATCCATTCTAGGTTTTGAAACATTAGACAAAAATAGGCAAGTAGCCAACTGTTTCTTGTTTGATACATCAGAACATTTTTCTATGAGAGATGTCGTAGATACAACGTACAAGAGTGATTTTGAAACACCAGTGAAAAATTTTGAATCATCAGAGAACGATGCCAAAATAAAAGAATGAGGGCACTGATCGATAGAACAAAGCCCAAGACAAGAGATAGGCTTTGGAAACATCTTCTTGACTATCTATCTATGGCATGAGGCAGTTGGCAGAAGGTGTTGTGTGCTATTGGGAAAAATACTACATGCTATTGGGGAAAAAATCAACTTGTTTTTTTCACTCTGACAAGAAGGAGAATAGCAATTTCTGGAGGAAGGGGGGAAAATGTAAATGGAGCAGATCAGGAAGAATCAGGATTCAACAGCCGTCAGAGAAGTAAAAGGAATCATGCAGACATATAATGTTTTTCGTGATTATATTTGAACAGTGAACACGAGATTGAAGCAAATACTGAAAGACGACGCACAGCGGAAACAGAAACAAACAATGCATGCCGGCAACACAGGTTTTGGAGGCCAGGCAAAACGATCCACTAGAAAAATCCAACGACTCATGAAATAAATGCTACTTCGCTTGTGTACAGTACTATTAAGCACGTTGGCAAATAGTAGCCTAGTACGTGTACTAGGGTAGCGACATAAATCTTTATGTGGCTAATGTAGTACTACATTAGCAACAAAAACTACCGTAGTACTACGTTAGCGATGTGAAATCTTTATGTCGTCGGCAATGTACATCGGAAAAGAAAGTCTGGTCCTATTGGTCGGCTTGCTCATGTCACATTAGGACATGGCTCAGTCTACTTATGTCATGTGGCCATGTGATTTTATCGCAGCCATTTGACTGGAACCTTTTCATATTTATTTTTGCCTCTGTGCTAATGTCACCTTCGCCGTGTGAAAAAATCACCTACTACTTGTCATTTTGGGACAGGGTCATTTTTGCATTGCCAGCATCATCTATTGTCACATGCCCAAAGTGTTAATGTGATCACTACAACAATTGAAATATCACAATGACTATATATTAATATCAACTAAACAATACTTGTTCTATCTACTTTTCAGGAATCCTCATATACTGTTACAATTTGTTGCCTTGCCTTCGTGCGCTTTTATTCAGAGCGTTTGTGGTTCAGTTAGTGTTGCCACTGCTCGGCCATTCTTTGACCAGTGCCTTCCATCTGTCCACATAGTTCTCCACCATCAAAAGTGCAAATGCTTCATCTGTGACATTGAAAGCATTGCTCAACCCACATTGACAGCTTGCATCACCACAGTATTTAGTGACAAAAGAAGCAGGTGAGATCAAGGCTTTTGTCACACAACAGTAGCGCCAAAACATGAATACGTACCCTCTTTGTGTTCACGGTCCTCATCACTGCTCACACTTGAACTATTGTCATACACCTTTTCCTGTCTCCGACACTCCCCTTCATTTGTTGGCAAATAAACAAAGCATACTCAACCCAAATTGACATCTTGCATCACCATAATATTTAGTGACATCTTGCATCACCATAATATTTAGTGACAAAAGAAGCAGGTGAGATCAAGGCTTTTGTCACACAACAGTAGCACAAAACATGAATACTCACCCTCTTTGTATTCAAGGTCCTCCTCACTGCTCGCCCTTGAATCATTGCCGTATACCTTTTCCTGTATACGAGACTCCCCTTCATTTGTTGGCAAATAAACAAAAAATGCTGCTGTTTCTCCAATGTTCAACAATGACGTTCTGATACCAGTAGTACAAAAAACTCACGGGTTGTTTGGGTGGAGGCTTTGCTAGTGTTGCAGTGTTTTCTTCTTGGTCTCATTGCCCTTCCCCTTGCTTGGTGCCTTCTTGCTCCTTGTCTTGTTTTCAAATACTCAAGTTTTTTATTATGTGTGCGCTGTGAAATCTTTGCCCTGGCAAGGCTGGATTCAGTGGAAATGTACTTGGCACTAGTAGTAAATACATGTAGCATTGGGTTGGAGGAGCAGGGTGGAGGAAGGCATGATTCTACGTATTTTCTGTAGAAATGTACCATAGGGTGGGCTTGAATCCGTCCTGGCGCGATTTTTGCCCTGCTATTACGAACAACCTTACTTAACATATTGCTTACTTAACATAATGACTCAAAACTATTATAGACTTGTCCAATCTACGTTATTTCTACTGAGTAGGATCCTGGTAGATTTGCAGGGAGCTACACTAACAAACTTGTAACTCTTAATGGGAGACATGTCTCAACAAACGAATCCCAATTTTGTGGCTTAAATGCACAATGTCTGCCATATGTAATAATATCACGATTACCATAACCAGCAAAGAAAAATTGGCAAAGGCGCCACCTGCAGGAAAAAGGACATGAAAATGCAAAATCTCCTGTTCTTGTTGATGCCATGCAATCATCAAACGGCATCATAGTACTGAGAATTTGCTCTTTGATGAGCTTACCTCATTTTGCCAATTGTACTCTATTCAGTTGCATCGCTGTCAGATTCTTCACCAGTAATGTCATCTGCTTGCAGTTTCTTTTCTCAATGTTGTTTTTGGTACTGTCCTGGGCTCATCGGAGAAACGTTTTGATCACTTCTGACCGTGTAGAATTCTACGTGCAGGATCGTGGTACATTTCGACAGAGCGTCTAGGCTTCAGGTGCAAATATATGGAAGATCCTAAAATCCCAATCCGGAGAAACTTTTTGATGGGATAAATGTATGGCAGATCAATCCACACAGCCAAAATAGAAACAGAAACAACACAAACATGACAATCAACTACAGTTTGCGCAACAATGGACTGGCGCAACAACCAACTGTTCCCATTGCACCAACTGGCAATATGGAAGCCAAACGACAATACATGGGGCACAACGAAAAATTTCTACCGATGACGATGGTAACAAAAACTGTGTGTTGGTCTAATGATGACTTTGTCGGTAAGAAGTTCATAGACACCATCTAGGGCGCACATGCATCATCACCTTTGTATGTGAAGACGTCCCTAGATGCAGGAAGATGGTGCCTAATGGCGTTATCCGGTGCCAAATTCGAACTCAAGCCCTATCATCAGAATCTGTTGCTCTTGGGAAACTGGCCTTGGTGGACCCAGAAAGCTGCAAAAAAAAACGACAATACACCAATCTCTTCTCTGCATATATTTTGAGCAAGTGTGTCATTAGCGGAAGAAGAATTCGACCATTGGCATATAAATTTTAACCAATATGATGAGTTGGTTTGGTAATATTATGAGTTTGCTCCGTTTCAGCGGGTCCTCCTGGCACCATGGAGAAAGAAACCCAAACAACAACCTGCCAGTCCCTTTCACTGCCTCTAATGGACAAAGGATTACTGGACCTATCAGTAGATTCGGCCTATCCTAGATCAAGGCGCCTAAGCAAATGGGAAGTTTGAATCACATGTAAGTTTGTTGCCCCAAAGCATGATCTGGAGTGATCTGGCCGAATTGTTGACCAAATTGCTTTGAATTGCTTTATTTAAACTAATATTTCTTGCTCATTGATGTACTTGGCAAGGTTGATACATTGGTATAGGGTATCTTGAGGTAGAAATGTTTCCGCCGCACTCACATAAGTTTGATGATCA